AAAAGGATTGTAGAAACTATGTTGAGCAAGTTTGACGTCTGAGACTTGGAGAAGGGGATGCTGCAGCAGTACAATCATACTTTTTGAAAATGCAAGCCAGTTGTGGCGGGTTTTACTTCAGTATGGATCTAGACGAAGATTCGAGGCTAAAGAATATGTTTTGGGCAGATAATAGGAGTAGGCAGGCGTATAAAGAATTTGGTGATGTCGTCACATTCGATACCACATACCTCACCAATAAGTATGACATGCCGTTTGCTCCTTTTGTTGGAATTAATTATCACGGACAATCTACACTGCTTGGATGTGGGTTGGTCTCGAATGAGGATACAGATACATTCGTCTGGCTGTTTAGGACATGGCTGCAATGTATGCATGGAAAAGCTCCCCAGGGTATAATTACTGATTAAGACAAGGCAATGCAGAATGCAATTGCAATTGTGTCCCCGATACAAAACACAGATGGTGTTTGTGGCATATATTGAAAAAGTTACTGGAGAAGTTTGGATATCACGTGGACAAGGGTTCAATATTTCATGCTATACACGGTTTGGTTTACGATTCACAATTTGTTGAAGAATTTGAAGATGAATGGAGGGTAATGATTGATACATATGATTTGCATGATAATGCATGGTTGTCGGGACTGTATGATAATAGATGCCGATGGGTTCCGTGTTATTTTAAAATCAGCTTCTGGGCAGGAATGTCCACAACTCAACACAGTGAGAGTATGAACGCGTTCTTTGATGGCTATGTGCATTCAAAGACTTCGTTAAAGCAGTTTGTCGAACAATATGAACGGGCTTTGAAGAATAAAGTTGAGAAGGAGATTCAAGTTGATTTCAAGTCTTTCTCACAAATGGTGCCATGTGCGACAAGGTATGAAATGGAGAAGCAATTTCAAGCTTATACACCATTGCAAAGTTTAGAGAAGTTCAAGAAGAGTTCACTAGGAAGCTTTATTGTGACTTGATCTCGACTTCGGAGGGAAGTTCGGGGACAACATACGAGATATGCGAGGAACAAATGAATGATGAGCAGTCGCACAGAAAAATGTTCTTCGTCTCTTTTCAGCGAGAAGATTGCCAAATTGTTTGCAGTTGCCACCTATTCGAATTTCGAGGAATAATATGCAGGCACCTAATTGCAGTATTGATTCGTAATGGCATCAAACACGTACCGAATAGGTATATACTACGGAGATGGTGGCGAGATGTAAGTAGATCCCACACAAGGGTTGCAGTTCATGACGATGGGCTGACTAGTACCCCAGGGCAGTTAATGTATGACAAACTGTGTCAGTCTTTTGCTAAGTTGGCAGACTTGGTCGCAGATGATGAAAGCAGAGCTGCAGGTATACAAAAATGGATCGAACATGAATGTGAAATGGTAACGACAACGAAGTCGAATGTTGTTAGTAATGTCATGTCTCCACAATTATTACACCGCTAGCATCACAATGTGGGCCATCACAAGAAACTATGAATAATGGAGTACGTGATCCTAAGTGTGCGAAGAGAAAGGGTGCACAGAAGAAATTTCGTAAGAAGAGCCCGTTGGAGCCTAGTTCAAACAAAGCAAAGGTTAATACACTAATATTACTAATTGCTTATGTGTTGTTTACTTAATATAAAGACCTTGTTGTGATGTCATGCAGGGGAGTTCGAGTACCTCCAAAGGAAATCGGCCGAAGGCACGACCAAGTAATGTTGGCGTTGACGCACATATCGTTCAAGTACCTCAACAATCACAACATTGCATGACTACACCGTTCACGTATTCACAACTCCTAATGGTAAGTATATGTATATTATTAGATTAATATGGACAACAAATGACTTAAATAATAATTTTTGTAGGGTGACAGTCAAAGTCTTGCATTCACACAACAAAGTTTTATACCTTTGTCCGGCAATTATGTTCACTTCCATGGTCCAGGTAAATATATAGTTAAACATTCTACCTACGAGAGTACATCATCTATTTTATTCCTTCTTTGGGTATTACTTATCGGATTGCATAGATTTTTAGGAAATGCCATACTTGTACCCACGCTTACCGGACCGAGATGAAGGAAACTCACATTTTCTGAGGAAAGAGGCACCATCTGGATAAGTTTTTCCATGCCAAGTTGTCCATGTGAATCTGTTGTAGTAAACTGGTTTTTAACATATGCTCATACAAATTTCAACATATGCAGGAAGAGAGAGAGGGTGGGGTGGGGTTATTTACTAATATATAAATTACTACGCATACAAGCTGCCCACGGTTCATGTTCATCAGAAAGCAAGCTGTATTTGTTGGTTTTTATGTCAGTTGATGAACTTGAGATCCACAAGTAGTAGTTAAAATATGTCATCATAATTTCTTCTGTGGTTGGAAACCTTGTTAATGAATTTCTTCTGTATTTCATCATAATTTCTTCAAGCCACTGGTTTTCAAAATTTTCCAATGCTCTTATTGATGATGGTTTTAAGCAATCAAAATTAGACTATTCATTGTTTACCAAAGGTTCTGGTAGCATCTTCATTGCTCCATTACCCACTAAAAATCTTACTGCACAATTAGTTTGAGCTAAAAGATCTTGGCTGGTTAAATATATCTGCAATTACTTGAGGATACCGGACTTCTAGCATGTAAACCAACTGCATTGCCTATGGATCCTAAACTGAAACTCAGTTCCTTTAAGGGAGAACTCATTGCTGATGCATCCATGTAAAAAAGACTAATTGGTCACCTTTTTTATTTCAGTTGAGAGCATTTACAAATGTAGATTGGGCTTACTCAATTATTTCATGATTTTCAGATTTTAAATAAGTAACTGCTGGAAATGACAGTAAATGACACTGAACGATTAGATCTCCTAGCAAGAAAGAAATGCAATGTTACTTTCTCAAAGAGAAAATGTTGGCTGCCACACCATTTTCTTGAGTAGTAGATAGCAATTTCACTTGAATTCATTCCACCAAAAAAGAGATTTTCCTACCAGCCTAGTAACTAGCCAATACATTGACATGTAGTCATTCATAATTCCAAACTAAGAAACATTTGATAGATACATAGAGACTTCAAACTAGTGTAGAAAATCATGCCGGCCCCTTTCCTTTCTCATCACACGGAACATTTACCTTTCCTTTGCGTATTGTAACGGTTATCTCCACGTCTTTTTCTTGAGTTAATTGGCACATCATTTCGAACATGCAAGATACGTTGTTCTCTAATTCAGTCGCCACATGATATTGAAGGAGTTGCCAACGAAACTTGATTCACCGGACATTTCACCATCTTTGACCCACTCCCAAAATCCACAATTTTTGCTACAACACTTGAACAATTTACCTTTGTTCTTAGTGTTCTTCACCACAACAAAACACTTCACATATGCATCTCTACACCACGGGCACGGGACCTTGTTTTGGCAATCCGCAAAGATGTGACCACGTCTTCTACATCCATGGCAGACTCCATCATTTTGTCCTGTCATTGTAAACTGCAATAAACACACTCAGTGACACATGAAATGTGGCTTCAGTAAACTGCAATACACACATTCAGTACACATTTGAGCGACACATTCTTGCAGTACACATTCAGGCATGTATGTCATACAATGAATCTCACTCAGGCTTCATCAAACTGCAGTACACACATTTCAGTTACACATTCTTGCAGTGATGTAATGCATTTCTTACAGTATACATTCAGGCATGTATGTGATACAATGATTTTCACTCAGTGACCCATGAAATGAATCTCAGAATCTTGCAATGCCCAGAGTCTCAGAACCCAAATTTCATTTTTCGAATGCAATTCTCATAAGTTCTTGTGATACAAAGAAACTCAGAATATAAGTCAACTTCAGCTCCTTCTTGCAGTGACCAGGCGTGTATGTGATATAAAGAATCTCATATTTTCGATTCTTATTGAAAATTCAAAAAATACACAAATTTTATCTGCCGATTTCGATATACCCATGTAAACTGCAAGTAAAGTGGCTTCGACATACCCACGTAAACTACATATCAGAAGTACCTAATTTACGTGCCGATTTCACCGGAGAAGATTATTGTTGCAGCTTCGAAGGTCGAACAAAATTATCGACATAAATCGGACAACTGTAGTTTCTTGGACTCCGGCTCCAGCGATGTTGAGTTCTACACTAGAGGAGGAGAAGGATGAAGATGGGACAGAGAGAAGAGATGGAGCTTCGATCGCCTTCGATTTGCCTTGATTCGCGTCTCTGCGTTTCGTCTGAGAATTGGGGAAATACAATGGGTTGGGCCGGGGTGTGATTTCATGCCGGGTCTTCAAATATCGTCTCATTTCGTTTCCTTTATTTTTGTCTTTTTTTTTCCACCTCACTCTGTCAACCGGTTCTGTACGAGTAGCAGAACCGTTACATTTAACCTAGCTAGAAGGTTTTGTGACGATTAAAAGCGATGTATTTTAATGTCCCGTGCTCCAAGTACTTCTCTTTTATTTTTGGGAAATCCCTCTATAAGTTGGATAACCTGAGAACAAAAATCTATCAGCGAAACCTGAATACAATAAATGCACATAACAATCAATTCATCCACTTTCAATCCCTCTTTTTTCACAATTTTCAAGATGCATGTGCGTGTATATTTATACTAGAGAGAGAAAGAGATTTGATCGAGGATTAGAGAAAAAAAAATTTTATAGGACGGGACAAGCTTCATGTAATGAGATTATCGTACTGATAAAGTGTTATAAAACTAAAAGAAAGAAAGAAAGAAAATATGGAAAGAAATAGAGAGTCAAAAGTGTGTATTATTATGAACCAATGTCATATATTTGTAAAGTCCAAAATTAGAGTTACAATTGGAATAAAATAGATATTTTAGACTAGATAAGAATTATTTATTTATTATGATAATACTATTTCATTGTTTTACAACATTTTCTTCAAAGAAAATTATGTTATTACGACGAGGGCAAATCAGTCATTTCACTTAAAATAGATAGGATAGGCTTCCCAATACATTCAAGAAAGAGGAACGCACAAAGACGCTCTCTCCCATCTACAATGGCGAGCCTTTCTCCCTGTTCTTCTCTCACTACAGCATCAATGCTATCGAGGAAGCAGAAATTTTCCGTTCCATCCTTAAAAACTAATCTTAATTTTCTCTCGCGTTCTATTTCTTCAGTGAGACTCGACTCGCCGAAACAGCCATTTTTTGTGCCCAAATTTTCACAGACGGATGCCCCTTCTTTGGCTGAACCTGAAATTGAGCCCACAACGGAAATTGAGGCCATAACGGAAGTTCAGCCTACTGTTGAAACGTCAGAAGCAGAAACCAAACGCGAAGAAGTCTTCGCAGTTGTCATGGTGAGTAGTCCTAAGAATATATGTGTATCTATTTTTTTTATGCTACATTTTGAAAGTTCAATCGTCAGGGATAATTTTTCGTGTTTGTGGTATCTGTATCTATGTTTTTATGTGTATTTGGATTGATTGAGTTGATACTATGATGGGTTCCTTCGAAAGAAATACTTTGTCTGGTGAAAAATTAAGTATTTTTGTCATGATCCATATGGGGATTTCCATTAATTTTTGCTTCTTCTTCCTTTTTTTTCCTGAGCACTTGTACTAACGGTTAAAAATGAGTAATTTTGTGGTCATATAGGTAGGCATTTGAAATTTTACCTTTTTGAGAAGTAAGGCACAAGATATGAAACTCCATGTACCATAAACAAATGTAATTTTGCCTTAAACTATTGCGTAATATAATAGACTTAATTGCCAAGATGCTATGGCTTTGCTATACACTAGTTTATATTCGTGCAGAAGAGGGTTGTACTATTGTTGAGTTGTTGATATAATGATGAAGTTATTACCAAATTTTTTAAGCCTAAAACATAATTTTGAGACATTCATATTGAGTTATAAAGTTGACTTGTGTCTTGTTTCTTGTATTTTATTCTTACAGGTTGGATCTCGGCAATATATTGTTTTTCCAGGACGTTTTATCTATACACAGAGGCTTAAAGGGGCGAACGTGAATGACAAAGTAAGCCTAAGTGATGAAAAATTAAAGAATTTGAATCTAATTTGTTCCTTGTCTTACCTATGCCTACCCTCTGTATATGTGATTATTCTGGTTTCTTCATTTACATGTGTCCTACTGGTGTTTCAAGTGAGTTTTTATTTAATGTTTGGGCAGTATTCATCTGGCTGAAGTAGCAATCTTAGGCCATAGTTATGTTTTGTTCTATTTTGCTCTCTAATCTCCTTCTTTAATTTTTGGGAGGTCATTTTTATTTTTAGAATTTAACTAGCATCATAAGAATTTTAAAGGATTCAAGTTAACTACCTTATCATCAAAATTTCCAATAATCCAGGAATTTTAGATCAAAATGAAGGAGGTTTATGATTAAAGTTAGACAATTGATTATATATGTGGAGATTTGTCGACGAGTCAAAACATCATTTTTAGTACCACAATTGGCTGATTATTGTCCAAGTTGGGAACAACTAAAGTCAGATTTGAATTGAAGCAAAGCCAGATCTTCCGTTTTGGATGGGAACTGGGAAAGGAAGAGAGGAACAATTATCGGAATTCTAATGCTGATTCATTCTTGTTATTGATACACGGTAATAATGGCTAAATAAGCAAATAATCAAACAATGAAATACCCCTTATGGTATTTTCTCTCTTTCTTTCTCTATGCTAAACACCACTGCCTCCATTGAAACCAACCACAGCCAATGATGAGTTCGGTCCTCATTTGATAACCTCGTCAATTCATGACTGTGTTGCTCAACATGCTTCCAACTGGATTGTGGGATGGCTACTATGGTAGTGGAACGATAGAGATGTTGCTGGTGATTGAGGTGATTATTGATGTTGAAATGGCAATAAACTCTGGTGATAAATTAGAAGAACATGTTTGGTGGGGATGATTAAATAGCTTTGGATTATTAAAGAAGGAAAAGAAGTGAAAGTATGTTCAGTACGGTGTACAGACATGGGACATGCACGTAGTGATGCAGATGTATCATGGATGATGATATTAAGAACTTTATAGTTGGACCGGGGAGTTTGCCTGCTGATATGGTTGAGGCAGTGATGATGATGGACTGCAAAGGTGGAGATTGGCGGCAGAGCTGATGAGATGCTGGTGGAAGATTGAATAGAATTGGTGAAAGGTTTTGGGAGTTAGATGCGTCAGAAATTTTGGTGTTTTATCTGGGCTAATTCTGCATGGGGAGGAATGAAAAATTAGGTCTTGGAAGAAATTAGATAGGACTTGGAATATATGGAAATGGAAACTATGTGTCCCTCCAAACCAAAAGCCACTGAAAAGTGATCACTGTACCTTGTTTCTAATGAACTGAAATGGAGATGATTTACAAAAATCTCATGTCTGTTCCCTCAGGTATTTGATATTCTGGATTTAGATTTAATATTATTATGTTTATTGGTGGGTTAATTAACAACCTCATTCCATATCATTTTCCACTCTGACCCTGGAAATACTTGTAGTTAACCCAAATTCAAGATATCTACTTAAACCCCTAGAGAATGAGTTACTGGAAATCAGTAAAAGCCTAGTGAACTAGAAAATTTGAGTGGTTGTTCTGAATTTTGGTTTCCTGTTGATTTGAAATAGCAAATTTAGCTATCTCTCTTTTTTTTTATAGCTTCCATTCCCACCCTCCGACCATCCCATTCTTTACGAGACAAATACGTTGAAACACTCCCTTTACTCTATCAATAAAGTACTCATTAAAATCCTAAAAGTTTTTATTTATTACTTTATTATAAATGCTAATAAAAATAATAATCAAATTAAAAAATATATAATAAAAGGATATAATAGGAATTAGAATTTGTTGTAGTATAAAATGAAGGACAAAATGGGAAATAGTTAAAACTGTATATATTATATCAAATGAACAGTGTTGCATCAATTAAAAAATTCATGAAAATCTGTCAATATAACAAATCACTATGGACAGATGGTACGAGCTCTCCAAACTTGAAGTCTTTAACAATGAACAACTAGTTTAGGTATTGACGAGTCACGACAAGAAGTTCTGTAATCTAAAAATTCTTACATTAGCATACCACATTTTGCACTAGTAAGTGAAGTTGCAACAACCCCATTTTGCTGATCGAGAAATTTATCTACCAGGTAACATTGTTAGAGTGCTGATGGCAGACGAGCAACTTCAAAAGATTGCAAATCTCCAGTTTTTTCTTCTACATGTTACATGCATCACACTGATAATGACAAATATACTATGCCTTTTTTTGAAGGGTGTAAATATTCCACTTAGATATTACTATCAGCTTTTGCAAGATAACAGAATGTGAGGCCTTTACCGAATAGTCTTTTCCCAAGAAATGGTGAAATATTAGGGTATATCGCCACCACTCTGCATTTTGTACAATATTGCATGTATGATGATATTGATTTGCTAGAAATTGAACAAAATATGACTGAGATAGATACGTCAATGTGTTTTTGTGGGCAGATTACCTTGAATAAGGTATTACTGGTAGGAACAAAAACAAGCACTTACATCGGGAAACCAATTGTGCCCAATGCGACAGTCCATGCAATTGTTGAAGAACAGGTTCGATACAGTTCTGGTGGAGTGTTTCTTTATTTAATATTCCTTTTTTGTGCTCTCCTGCTTTAATTTGGCAACTATTTTCTTGTAGACCTTGGATAAAAAGGTCATCGTCTTCAAGTATAAGAAGAAAAAGAACTACCGAAGAAACATTGGTCACAGACAGGTAATTTCCTATATCCGTATAATTGAATCTTACTCAAGACAGTAAGGTTGAAGTTGATATACCGAATGTACATTTAACTGAAATTATTAGGCAATATATGTGCTTCTGAAAGTGGATGTTTCATATAATATGTATTATTTACGTAAATAAAAATGATTTGTTGGTTTCTTTGAGCACCATGCCTAGTAATTGGAGAATTTATGATAATATAAATTTTTAGAAGTTACACAAACATATTTGTGGTTTTAGTTTATCCTTTGTTTTTGATTTGTAAACCATTGTCAATGTCTTAAGTAACATGTTTTATGTTTCGACTTAATACAGCCCATTACACGGATAAGAATAACAAGCGTCACGGGCTACCAAGATTCACCAGCTGTCACCCTTCCATAGCGAATTCTAGCAGCAGATTTCTGAGTTTTAGGCTTGACAGATTGTTTTATCGTTCAATTATCTATTTTGGAAAGTTAAATGTTGTATATACGTTGGAAGCCTTTTGGCAAAAATTGAATCTTGAAATCGTACTGTATCCGTGTTTTATGTCCGTTACCATGTGTCTGTGCTTAATAGTCCTCTGACTTGGCCTGTCTTGTTGCAAGTACAAGGTATAAAGAAGGGGGTTAGGTAAGGGCAGAAGCCAACACTCGGCGAGCCATGACGGCAGCCCATGTTGGCTTCGCCGGATTGTGACTTTTTTCCGCATATGTTGGGTGGCTTCTCGACGTGCACCTGGATCACGATAGCTTGCTTGAATTCCTAGATCCGTTGTGAGGCCATATCACTCTTCTTCTTTATTTTTTCATTTATTTTATATTATCTTATTATTTTTACATGGGATGCTTAGATTAATGTGTTTGAGATGAGTCATACTTTCAACTGAATGTGTCATCTCTAGTTGAAAATAATTTTTTTGAAATATGAAAATTAATTGATGTCATCGCCTAGAAATAATTGCTTTGAAAATTAATTACTATCACCTCTAGTTGAAAATATGACTCATCATTCGAATGTGTTTTTGTGAGAGAGAGAGATTCCTAATTATTTTAAACTGGATATGATTGGGTTTCATTTCTTTCTGCTTAGGTATTTTAAATTCTTGCTTCAGATTTCCATTTTTCTACTCATTCGTGTCGTTACTTTTGCATGAATTATAATCTACAAAGAAGGCCACAACGAATTACTCTTTCATCTATTTTATTTTATCATATTGATATAGAATTAAATAGCATAGGCTGCAGATTACGTGCCCTTCTAGTATCATTTTCCATGCACAACTTGGTAATCTCCTGTATTTAACCCTTATTCAAAGTCTCCTTTAATTGGGAATTCGGGTGGCAATTCGGGGTGAGAAAAAGTTGTAGTAACAAAAGGTTGAAATGCTAATTAAATTCAAGTAAAAAAGAGTCTTGCTAATTAAATTCTTGTAGGAAAAAGTCTTGTGCTAATTAAATTGTAGTTAGTAAAAAATTCTTATGCTTAATTAAATTCGTAACAAAAAGTCTTATTTTATTTATTACAAATTTTTCTACGTAGAAAGTGTGCAACTTTGGGATTATTACTATTTTTATCTTTATTTTGTCTTATAATTTTTATATCTTTTTGCATTTTCGTACAATTTTTGGGATTTTTTATAAAGAAGCTTTCATACTGAGAGATAGAAAACTCAGTGATTTGCTTCTTGATCTGTAAAGAGGAGTCATCTTAATTTCTATCTAGTGTGGATAATATATGACTTTATATAACAATCATTCTATCAATTTTTTAATTTTCTAAACAAATATCAATAAATTTTTTAAAACTTTCTATTGAGCAACAAATCGAAGTAGACGTATAATTGTCTAATGACATAAAATATTAGAACTAAAGATCAATATGTTTGTAATGACCTTAGATTACTTTAGCGTTCAACAAATTAATTTCTTCAATTTTTATTTTTTTTAAACTCTCTTAACTTTTTTCTTGACTTTCTAAGAAAGGTTTAAGACTATGCCCTTGTTTGAGCCCCATTTTTCAATCAAAATACATTCTTCAATAGTGATTTGACATCATTTCAACCCCACATTATTCAATAAAATAATATTATACGCTAATAAAAAAAATTTCTTTATTTTTTAACTACACATTTTCCATCGATACACTATTCAAAAATTCATTTTCTTCACAAAAATGGAGCTCAAACAAGGGCTATAATTAAAAAGATTTTCATTATATTTAAAGAGGCTTAAACAAACTCCCAAAATCGAGATACAAAACAGCCAGTTTAACTCAAAGGATTATTTTACCCTTTTAATCATGAAATCCAAAATAAAGAGGTTAAAAGCGTTATAATGTAGAAAAGATAAAAAAAAAAAATTTCTAAATAAATTAATTGCTTACTTAGCATATTTCTCTGTTAGGCCTTGCCCGAAAAATAAATAAAGTAGAAGAAAATTATAAACAATAGAAAATATGAAAAGAACTTACTTGAATTCCAAAGTCCTAGAATTTACAAGGATTGTGGAGAGATTTTTAAGTAAAGTGGGAGAGGGTGCTTTTTGTTTTTCTCGATGTGTTTTTCTTTGTGAGTAGTTTGAGAATTTATAAACCCTGGTATATCACGTCTACTATTTTAATATTGTATCATTTTACAAATGTGCAATCTATTATTAAAGAGAAAGTAATAAATACTGTACAACTTTACAGATGCGTGGTTTTAAAACGATTGTATGAAATTATAGACAACTATTTTCCTCATTCTGACAATCTTACCTTCGAGCTTCCTCCTCTTGTTGACTTTGCTTGATATTTGAGTATTATTTTTTCTTTACGCCTTTTCATCTTTCTATCGTTGCTTTGTCTTTTCTTTGTTCTCAATTATTGCATCTATCCGTCCATCATTTCAATGTAAACTTCTTCTAGCTCTAAATCCATTTCATTGTCTTTTTCGTCTAGTATGTATTTTTCTGCTTCTTCTTCTTCTATCTAATTGGATTTCTGTAAATTCTCCATTGATTTCTTGAAACGCTATCAGATATAAATTCTTTTGCTCAATATTTGGTATTAGATTTTTTTTTTTATTCTTTTAGCAAGGTGTTCTTGGCATAAAATAATTCCATTATCCCACTGTGCTACTAGTTTGAAATAAGTACTTTGGACTTCCATCATTGCTGCGATTTCTTAGACCCCTCTTTCATAATCAATCTGTCTAATTTTTATTTTAGTATATCTTTGAAGAGGGCCTGAATCTTTTGGCTCCTTCATATATTAAATTATGATGATAGGCTGGATCTACAATGCCATTATTTACAAGAGGGGGTCTAGAAATAAACTGAATCATCAATGGATAGTCTTTCAATTGATCAATAATCTGTTTAAACTTTGGTAGAAAAAATCTAAAAGATTTGTTTAATATATATACAGTATCTATCATACCAAACTGTAAAACTGGGTAAAAAAATGTCTTCTTCCTTAAAAATTGTATAATCAAAGGAAATTATGGGATAATTGTGTTTTAGAAATGCTAAATTTTTGGTTGATTCGTATTTGGAACCATGTTTAAGGAAATATCTGTTCTCATTGTGATAGTAACTTAAAATTTGAGCAAAATCTATAATTTCTTGTACAACTATATTCTTCATAGAACTTCGAACAATATTGGCGCAATTACCAAATTTTTGTTGTAATTCATATAAAGTATTTTCTTGCACTGCAGCTGTAAAATCGGTTAGTTCAATTAGTCTTTCTATTTTATAAGAATAATTTCTACTTGTAGAAATAATGTCTAGAGAAATAAGTCTTTCAAGAGTATCTTTAGAACTAAATCTTTTTAAACTATTTTGTAACTGAAGGATTTCATTTTAATATTTACTAATAGTTCGTTGGGATGAAGAAATTTCATCTTCAAGAATTTGTAGTTTTTCTTTTAATGAATGCTTTCTAAGAATTAAATTTCTGACAATTTTGATCATCGATTCATAACTATCACAAAGTTGTATTGATGAAGATGATGCTTGAGAAGTAGTGATTTGCATAGTCTGTCTAACTCTTTCAGATATACAAAAGTTAAATCCTATCATTTATCTACAAAAATTTAAAGTTTTTTCGAGTATATAAAATCCTTTAAAAAAGGGGTTAGGAAATCATTCTACTTGTACGGCCAATAATTATATATACCAGGATTTCTACCTTTAATTACTACAAAAGAAACTAAAATTTCTACTTTCTATTTGATTATGAATCTGTCTAAAATGGTTAGCTAAGACATTAATACTGTTTAATTTTAATTTAGAGTCACGTGTCATTCAAAGATTATTCAGTAAACAACGCTCCATTTCTAGTAGTATTTCTAAATTATTTCATCTGAATCGAAGATTAGATCCTTCAAGGGACACTTTTAAAGTGGCATTTCCAAAGTTCATCATTCTTTGATCCATTTGCATCATGAAGATAATGAGTTAGAAAATTAATAATATGCCTACTTAAATTATCTGTTAAAATATTATTTTTTTTCCATCTGTATGTTCTATATTAATTTTATAACTACTTAATATCTCATGTAATTCTAACCATATTTTATGTCTTATTTTATCAAAATTTTATATTTTTGATAAATTTTACAATAGCTTCACAATCTTTTCTTATTGTAAACTCGGTATCTAGGAATAATTTAAAGCTTTCTATGTTCTGCTAGCATATTTGCAAATTTTTTCTTCCATTTTATCACTATATTTATTTGGTTTTGAATATAAAATTTCTTCCCATCCTAATTCACATTCATCTGTTTCTGTTATTTTATATTCACTGTCTGATTGTGGAAAATTTTTAACTTCTTCTATTACTCTTTTAACAAGTTCTATATCTGATTGATTAAAATATTTTTGTCCTTTATTAGATAATTTACTATACAATGGTCCTACTTCCCTTCCTAAATCTTATATAAAATGTCTAACATAATTTAATATTCCTAGAAAGGCTTGTAATTTCTTAGTTTCTTCAATTTTATCTCGAAATTGTAAAATTGTTTGTTCTACGTATAGTTGTAGTTGAATTTTTCATTATCCTAAAATTATTCCTAAAAATTCAATTTTTTGATTATTTATTTTCGTTTTCTTTTTACTTATAATTAAATCATTTTTTATAAACTTATTTAGCCCTTGTTGAGTCCTATTCTTTTGAAAAAAAAATGTATGTTCAACAGTGTTTTGACATAATTTTAACACGCATTTCTCAATAAAATAATATTACACGTAACTCCAAAATTTTTCATTACTAACCACACGTTTTTCATCAATAAACTATTCAAAAATTCATTATTTCTCCCAAAATGGGGCTCAAACAAGGCCTTAAAAATTATATCTAGATGTTTCATATGTTCTTTATAGTCTTTACTATTTATTAAAATATCATATATATATACACACAAACAAATGAAAGAGAATTAAATATAATAACCATCTTTCTTTGTAAAATAGAGGGTGCATTTTTAATCCAAAGGGCATAACTAACTATTCAAAGTGTTCTAATGGGGTAGAAAAGGCTATCCAAGGAATTGAATCTTTTACCAATTTTATTTGCCAAAATCCAAATTTATAATT